GTAAATTGACCTAGTTTCGTTGTACATGCATGCTTACATGATCAGCACGTAAGTCATGACTTGTGGACATACAGGTAAATGAATAATTACAATTGTCATCTGAAGCATTTATCATTTGGTGATAATAATATAAATAATTACATATGTTTGAAAAATATGATATTACGACAATAAAGGTTTTGCACCTACCTTTAATTAGAACCACAAGGCGACACTCTGGTTTCCTCCCATCCAGGCATAAATTTTGCCCTATATCTCAGGTGTGGTCAAAACGTCGATCAAAATCAACTACAGCTTAATTTTCCCCAATGAACAAGATGAAAAGTGTCCACATTTAAATAATGATAGAGTGATGGACTTACAGATATTCCATCGGAATTAAGTAATTAAAAATTTATAATTGCCAGGAAAACCAAAACATTAATAATAATCATTTCCATTAACGTGTACAAAAAAAAATATTGTGTTAATGGAACATCTTCAACAAATTAATTTGAATTATTTTCTAAACGTGCTCGAACCAAATTGTTATAACATAAAAAAATACCTCGCGGAAATAAATAGCAGATAGATTAGTAATTATGGTTTTGAAAAAATGTAAAATTGCTGTTTACAATTTGAATATGATGCATGCTTAAGAAAAAATGTCGGACATCTTTCATATAACAAACAAGGCGGTTGAAAATGAAATTGTAACTTTAGAAACTGATGTAATCATTAAAGCTGGAAAGGAAGAAGATGTTTTTGAAATATCCCAATAAAACCAAATGTAGCAAATTTTATTTTTATTTTGAAACTATATACTTTTGCGAATCGACTTTTTTATATTTAAAGTTAACGACGATTCTCATATTGAAAATTCATTCATGTCATTATCCTTATCTCGATATGCATCAAATGGATTCCTTGGTTAGACGCAGGCAGCCACAGGATTCTCATTAATGTCGATCCTTTGCATGTATACGTACGCTACCCTTGTTATATCCTACTCTAAATGAGGCATAGGAATGAAAACTGATAAAACGTTTTATTTTGGTCGTCGCCTTGGACTTCTTTTGCTCTGCGTTCCAGAATATAATATAATTTTACCTAAGGAAGATAGTGAAGACTTGCGGAAGGTTTACAGGAAAAATTAGGCGATTAGTTTGAACTTTTAAACTACTTACGTATTTATGAAGGTTCTTAACTTAACCATAAAATAGTTGCTTATTTCTTTTATTGGAAACAGTATTTAGTGCCTGCCTATACCTGTAAAAGTAGTGTTACGTACCGTACCAACGTACCAGAACCCAATACGTATCTTTATGTGGCAATAATACATGGTATCTGTTTCCAATTTAAAACCATTATTATTATACCCGGGTAAGTGTGCATCCAGGCCACCGATGGCGGTGTATATAGGTGTGTATGCACATTATTTACAGGCTCGTGTGAAATGTATACCGGTATGTGTACTGTATACATATATGCCTGTATTCTTTTGTCGTTCGGCCAAATTAATTCGAGTGTCATATATCACCACCGTGCCGAATAAAATTGAAATAAAAGAGACCACAGTGGCATGAGGACCGAGGAGACGGAAAGTAGGTCGGTCTAACGGAAATCGTCCGAAAAAGACACGCGAACTGCCGCTGTCACGCACACTTTCTACTCATTTACTTGTTATTATACTTATAATAATTCGTGTACGTCTTATTATATGTCTATGTCTTAAAATCTGATCGGAAATACGTAGGAAAATCTTTGTACGCTCCGGTTTCAGTTCATCTCTAACACCCTGTAGTTATTTTATCACGATAAATTAATGTATACATGAAGAAGCTAGGATGTTTGCTTAAATACCAATTTTTTATCATCCTCATAAGGTCGTCAGTCCTGAGACTGGTTGGACACGCACCTCCACTCTTTCATATCCTGAGCTAATCTTCGCATTTCCCTAAAACTAGAACATCCCACATCCTTAACTATTTGCGAACAGGGTAATTCTTTACATTAGTTGACATTGGAATTGAGACATGAAGTTTAGTCAGGTAGGTAGTACTGACCAAGTAGAATCGTGTGGTAGCATTAATTCCGTGCGGAAACCAATGTAGCTTGAGATACAGGCTCCTAAAGTTATTTAATCGGAGGAAATTTCGATTGGTACGGCCCTGGCTGCAGCCCTTCGTCAGCTGTTCTCGCCAAATATGCATTGATGACGTCATTGTTTAGTTAGGTAGATGTATGACAGACTCGAGTTTGTTTAATGCCCCTGCCCGCCGAAGGCGGGCTGATACATTAGAATAATGTTAAGAAGATATGTTTTAGGACAAACGATGTTTGGCGGGAACAGCTGACGGAAGGCTGAAGCCAGGGCCGTACCTACCGGTATTTCCTCCGATTAAGAAAACTTTAAGGGCCTGTATCTCACTCACATTCATTTTTAAACAAATAATAAACAAAATTCTAGTAAATACTACTACACTACTTCACTTGGTGAGTACTACCTACCTGACTAAACTTCATGTCTCAATTCCAATATCAACTAATGTAAAAAATTACCGCGAACAGTTATCTAATCTACGCTTCCCTCTACCCTGATTAGACCTTCATGCCTGAGAAGGTATCCTTCCAACCTATCTCGCTTATTTCTTATTGACGTACATAGAGTCATCTGTCCTACTACTCTTTCTAATATCTCTTCATTTCTAACCTTCTCTATCAACGGTATCCTCATCATTCGCCTGTACATTTCGAACGTTTCATAACGTTATCTTTTCCGCAACCCTTACTCCATGTTTCGCACCCGGACAGCGCCGCGCTCCAAACATACACCTGTAACAGTCTTTTTCGAATTTTAATTTTTTATAGGTAGGATATTTTTCCAGATTTGAGGGACAAAAGCGCATCATATTCCGTGCTTCCGGATAATAAATCGCCTTCGGTGATATGCTATCTTTACATCATTCTAATAGAAACAGTCGTTCTCAATTTCTTGCGTTTTCCTTAAATATTTCGTTTTATTTTATGTTACCTACTAAGTATTAGGCAATTAATAGTCAGTTTTATTTGTACATAAACTTGTCAGAAAATTTGAGTTTAACAGCTTGTCATATGCGTATACGTACACGTACATAACATTGTTTGTACATGCATCAGGTACCGTATCAAAAGTATTTAGTAATGCCATAACAGAAAGGAGGATAATTAAGACATTTAATGTCACACCTTTCTACAATTTATCCATTACTTAATTTAATTTATCAACATTTTAATTTTTCTATTAACACCAAATTGGGAAACTATCACGTTTCGAAAATAATAATGTACGAGGGTGGATTGATAAGTTTCCGGCCTAACCAAGAGATGACGCCACTAGGCCTACCTTGAGGTGACATTCTATAGTACCATCCTTGGATAGCTTGTAGCTATAGTTTCAGCCCGATCTCCTTGCTAGTGTAGGTTTGACAGCACGCTGAACAAGACGCCTCTGTGGTTTTCGTAAAAATGGAAAAGCAGGAAAATCGTGCTGTCATCAAATACTTTTATTTGAAGGGGTTAACGCCGAAGGAAATTAAAAAAGAGATGGACTCAACACTGGGGACATCCTCCCCGTCATATTCAACCGTTAAGCAGTGGGTTTCCGAGTTTAAAAAGGGTCGTGTGAGCACCTCTGATGGGCCTCGCTCAGGACGCCCCGTTGAGGTCACAACTCCAGATATGATCGAAAAAATTCATCAAATAGTGCTGGGAGACCGCAGATTGAAAGTGCGTGAGATAGCTGAGACCTGTAAGATGTCATATGAACGTGTGCAACATATTTTGCACCAACATTTGCATATGGAAAAGCTCTGTGCAAGATGGGTGCCGCGTTTGCTAACAGTCGACCAAAAATTGATTCGAAAAAACATTTCTACCGCAAATTTGTCATTGTATAAGCGTAATCCAAGCGAATTTTTGCGTCGATTCGTAACCGTTGACGAAACGTGGGTCCACCACTACACTCCTGAAACCAAAGAACAGTCTAAACAGTGGATTGGACCAGGGGAACCAACTCCAAAGAAGGCAAAAACAATTTTTTCGGCGAACAAGGTTATGGCTACTGTTTTTTGGGATGCAAGAGGTATTATATACATTGATTACCTTGCAAAGGGTAATACTATCACTGGTCAATACTACGCAGACTTATTGCAACGTTTGAGCCACGAGGTGAAAATTAAACGACCTCATCTGGCGAAGAAAAAAATCTTGTTTCATCACGATAACGCACCAGCGCACACGTCAATCGTTGCGACGGCTAAAATCAACGATCTAAAGTTTGAATTGATGCCGCACCCTCCTTACTCTCCAGACCTAGCCCCGAGTGACTATTTTCTGTTCCCTAATCTCAAAAAATGGCTTGGCGGTAAGAGATTTGCGGACAATGAAGAAGTAATCGAAGCTGTAAATGGTTATTTTGAGGAGCTTGACGAATCAGTCTATAGAGATGGCATTAATAGACTGGAACACCGCTATGAGAAATGTATCAGCCTTGGAGGAGATTATGTTGAGAAATAAAAAAAAAAAATTTTTAAAAACCTTGTTTTTCTTGGTCAGGCCGGAAACTTATCAATCCACCCTCGTATGTATGTTCAAAGGTAAATAATTATTTAAATGGTATGAACCGTTTTGAAAAATGTTAGTGAAAGTCGTATAATGACAGAAAATTTAATGTGATATTAATGTTGTGTGCGCATAGAAAGAAAGAAAAATGGTTTCTTTGCCTATCTAATATTTTCATCTATTCACCGGGTTAACGGATATGATGACGTATAAAAGTAACTACTGTTATATTAGGCAGTGGCTACTGCTATTTACGATGAAAACTATATTTTTTTATGGTCGCTTACATTTGTTATGTATTGTGGGATTAGATATGTAGTCTTTTGAATCCCGTTGATTTAATTTATAACTAATTGCTGTACAGACTGTAGTTTTAAAACTTTAGTTTTAAAAGCTAAAACGTGCATATTTTTTTACAGAACACATTCCAAGAAGCAGCAATCGTTCATCAATCTCCGATTTCCGTAAGTTAATAGATTCCGTTATTTTGGAGAATTTCAGTTTTTTTAGTATTACCTCTATGTATAGGAGGGAAGCCCTCACTAGTTTCCATAATATCATACGTACTGTAATTTTCGTCAATAGAATTTACAAAGAGTATTATTTTTGTATTATTTAGCTAACTTAAAAAAAAGGACGTATCATATCAAGGTAATACGACTCATTCTAATATCTCTTCATTTCTAACCTTCTCTATCAACGGTATCCTCATCATTCGCCTGTACATTTCGAACGTTTCATAACGTTATCTTTTCCGCAACCCTTACTCCATGTTTCGCACCCGGACAGCGCCGCGCTCCAAACATACACCTATAACAGTCTTTTTCGAATTTTAATTTTTTATAGGTAGGATATTTTTCCAGATTTGAGGGACAAAAGCGCATCATATTCCGTGCTTCCGGATAATAAATCGCCTTCGGTGATATGCTATCTTTACATCATTCTAATAGAAACAGTCGTTCTCAATTTCTTGCGTTTTCCTTAAATATTTCGTTTTATTTTATGTTACCTACTAAGTATTAGGCAATTAATAGTCAGTTTTATTTGTACATAAACTTGTCAGAAAATTTGAGTTTAACAGCTTGTCATATGCGTATACGTACACGTACATAACATTGTTTGTACATGCATCAGGTACCGTATCAAAAGTATTTAGTAATACCATAACAGAAAGGAGGATAATTAAGACATTTAATGTCACACCTTTCTACAATTTATCCATTACTTAATTTAATTTATCAACATTTTAATTTTTCTATTAACACCAAATTGGGAAACTATCACGTTTCGAAAATAATAATGTACGAGGGTGGATTGATAAGTTTCCGGCCTAACCAAGAGATGACGCCACTAGGCCTACCTTGAGGTGACATTCTATAGTACCATCCTTGGATAGCTTGTAGCTATAGTTTCAGCCCGATCTCCTTGCTANATTTTCTTTTGAAAAATGAAACCATTCCATCAGTATTTTCTTATGACGTTGTCACGTTCAACTATCGTCAGACAACCGATTTTTTTTTCGTCGCGCCCACTGTCCATGTTTTGCACCCTTACAGCGCCGAACTCCAAACATCACCTTTAAGTCTTTTTCGAATATCTAAATGAACCGTTCGCGAACATAGAAGTGACTTCTTGTTATTGAAAGCGACTCGACTCTTTGCTATCCTCTGCTTTATAGCCCTACTACTCCTTCCGTCCTGACTTATCTGACTTCCTAGATTTCTGTCATTTTCTAGTAACCGGATGGAACGACAAATTTTTGGATTTGGGAATAATTAAGCGACAAATTAGGGTAAACTTTAGAAATAAGAAATGTATTTTTGTCGTGTTGACTTTTATAGATGGAAAAATAGTGAAAATGTTTTTTTACAATTTCAATTTATATCTTTCGGTGGCGGGGGGCGAGAAGTCAATAGTCAGTTAGTTAGTTCTATCTCATAAACACAAGCGTGATCTTCTATATATATTTTTTTTTAATTTTATTTCGTGCAGTTAATCGGTGTTGAATTTCAATAAAACTAACCACACTACGTAGTATCATGAATGTAGAACAAGTGCGTGAATGTTTGTTCTTTTTTTTTGTTATTTTTTAATTACATATAAGCGACTTGTGTCATGTGCGGAATTTAAATTAGAAGCAGATGCGGTCACGTCATTACAATATGGAATTATTTCATGTGTAGTTCCCGTAATTTTTTCACGCTGAAGCACACACGTGACTAATATTAGAAAAGTCTAAACTTGGTTTGACTTGGTTCAAGCAATTAATTGAAGTATTTAATATTAAAATATTTTGTAGTCAAAACGATTTTCTTATAATTTTTTTTCGCACTTGGAAGTACCCGCTACGAAAATTTTACATGAATTTATTTAAAAATGGTAAGAATTTTGGAAATGGCAGGTATTTATTAGTGTGCCAATTTTTTTGTCGCTGACGAATTTTGCCAAGGAGCACATTTAGACGTTACGTTATATGTAGCACAATTAAGCACAAGTATTTAAGACTTTACTAGACATAATATTTTATCGTGAGTTTATAATTTCAATGTTACCGTTACAAGAAGTAAGCATCCCTCTGTGTTTTTATATCGGCTTATTGCTTTATAATCACAAACCGCTGTTAAGCATTTGACGGCAACCGTGCCTGTTGACTTGATGTTTGATTTGGTGCTACTGATACTAACAAAACGTGTAGCTGAGAATACGAAGGTACTGATTCTGGTTTAGGTCATTTTTTTTTTTTTACTTACTTTACTTTTCTTGAAATTTCAATCAGCAGTTTGACGTAAGGGCAATTTAAAAATATACCCAGTGAATAAATAATTAGACGTCGATTTTGATTACGACCCCCGTGGCAACTGTTTTGTTTATATAGCGACGCGTGTGTTAAAATATATTTTGGTGCTCTGTTAAAGGCATTTCAGATTATAGCTTTTAGGAATAATGAAAAAATAAATGAAAAACTGCACATATACAATATACAAGTAAGGCAAAATGTTAACTGAACATACAAATTAGACATTTATTGCTAGGCATTTTTGAAAATATTTTCTGTTTCTCTAATAACTATCCTAAACTAACTGAACTCTCAAAATTTTTTGAACAAAGTCCTACACTCATCAAAAGTTTTAAATTGCCTTCATTGGATTTATCTATATATTACATTATTATTTAAATGAAAAGATGGCTTGAACTAATTTTTCTATACCACGTCATTTTTACAAAAAAATGATGCCTCACATTGATGATTACAATTTGCCACTACTGTATATGTTACTGAAAATGTATGAAATATAAAATAAATATAGATTTCCTAAATAGCCTAGGAATTGTATCTAATATAATTTATTTCAAACATTTCCGGGCGATTTGAGGAATTATATACATTTCCTAGGAATTTTATACAATGACGGATTTCATACATTTCCGGTAACATATACAATCAAGTTTCTTAATAAGCTGTGTACTTAAAGGATGGTGGTTGATTTTTGGCTTTGATTGCCATATGGTCCAGGATTGTTTGTCGCCCTTCAGTGAGAACACCAATGGTGTCCTTTATCTAACGTTTCGCCGATGGCATTCTCATGGAACATGTAGTGAAGGCGAAGAACTTTACGCCTTCACCGAAAGATCGGAAATAATCCTAGACCAGAGCCCATGCCATATATCGAACACTATTCTGATAACACTGGTCGTGAATGCCTTTGCCTTTGTGTGTATTTAAAAATAATAGTGGTCAAATTAGGTGAAATAACGTTAAAATCTAGAACAATACATTTGTTTACTTGCCCATGTTTTTTTTTCACACTCGTGAGTCACCGTTGGCTGAAAATCGGCGAGAACGAGTGAGGAAAACGGTGGTAGATATGTGAATGTGACTGTGTATGTAGATTTGTGTGTGGTATATTTACACGAATCGTCGATTGTTTAGTCTGTTTTTAAAAAAAAGTACATGTAACAGGAAGAGTGTGTAACGTATAACAAAAGAGAAGACACTGACCGATAAAAATAGAGAAAATATACACGGTTCGGTGGGTTAATTATAATGTGTCTGGATTCTTTTGTTCTCAAGAAGAAGAAGAATAAGAAACGGGTTAATGGTGCAATAAAAAAAATAGAGTTCATTTCACAAATTGAGGGTATGAATTTCATATTTAATTAAAAAAAATGTGTTATTGTTATTATACTTCTTAAATAAATGAATTGTGTCAAAATTATCTTTAAATTAGATTGGTTTATCGAAAGTATCAAACATTCTATTAAAATTAATATGGGAAAAAATTGTTGTTTCGTTCAAGTAATTCTGAAATTTAAAAATTTCGAAAAGGTTAGAAGCGTTCGAAATATGATGAGGATACCGTGGATAGACGTTAGAAATGAAGAGGTACTAGAAGGAACAGATGACTCTATGGAAGTCAATAAGAAATAGGCGAGGTAGGTTGGTAGGACACCTTCTAAGGCATAACGGCCTAGTTAGAAACATTTTAGAGGCAGAAACAGGAGTTAAGAGGAGTAGAAGTGGATCTAGATTAGATTACTGTTCGCAAATAGTTAAGGATGCTAAGTGTTCTAGCTTTAGAGAAATAACTCAGGATAGGAAAGAGTGGAGGTGTATGTCCAACCAGTCTTAGGACTGACGACCTTATGACGATGATGATGATGATGATGACAATGAGCTAAGTCTTTACTTGTGTTAATCGTGTGGTAGGAGGACGTAGTTTTGTCTAGTTTTGGGGAAATACGAAGATTAATTCAGGATAGGAAAGAGTAGAGGTGCATGTCCAACCAGTGTTAGGACTGACAACCTTATGATGGTGATGATGAGAATATGCATTATAGACAACTGTACCAATCCGTCCAAATTTGGATGGGTTCAACCAGTCATTAAATATGTGTAATCATTTGATCGAAAACTAATTTCGTAACGGTAACGGTTTCATCATTGATGCTGACAGTAAAGTGGATGTGTGTTTTACCTGTCTCTACTGAATAACAAAAATAGCTTTCGAGTTTATCTTTTTTTCGTTTGGCTACTTGTATTTTTGGCACGAAATCCAAATAATCGACGAAGTGAATGACGTGATGTTGCGTCGCTGATGCAAGCAAATCAATCGATCGTTCGTGTACACCTTTACGTATCGTAAATACATGATAACGAATTAATAAATCACACAAATTTGGCACCCTCGCTAGCGATCCGAACTCTTTTGCCAAATTGCATCTGAAGGCAGACGAAATGTATTATGTTTTTTTTCGCCCCCGCGGCTGTTCCTGCGATGTATTTATCGTTAGACATAGGACGGTATAGGTAACACTGATGTCTGTCTCAATCCGTATTGAGGTAGCTAATTACTTAATTGTCTTTGTCATGGGAAAAAATTAGAAATTAGAAAAGGTGACAAATATTTTTTGCACAGAATAACCACTTTCGGGGAACTACGAGATATTAATTTTTTTATAGATC